GAACTTGAAGGAACCGACTGGATTCCGACAAATAAATCCTATCGGATCTGTCCTTCGGATTTCATCGGAATCCGGTAATCGGAATGCGTCGGAAATTATGGGAATCAATTGTGATCCGATCAGATTCCGACAATCGGAATTCTATCGGATTCAGTCATCGGAATTCATCGGATTGAGACAGATCCGACAGAATCCGATGGCCCACTTTCGACCTGGGAACGTGTATTCATTGCAATGACAAAATGAAAGAAAAGAACAATATTGTAGTATATTGTTCATCTCATCACTTATCCTTTTGTACCGATAAATGTGTTGTGCACAAGTAATAAGAATCATCTATAATCTTACTTCATTTTGAATGATCCTTTTTATTGATAATGTCGAATACATGAAGTTCTAATCGTTATATTGTCATTCCTAATGGATTAAGTGAAAAAGAAACGGACACGTCCGAGTCGGAAGATGAGATTGGTGCTGTTCAACATGTTTTACACGATAAATTAGCAATCAACAAAGATAATTCATCTAGTGAAGGAAGTGATGTTAAAGAAATGGTAACAGATCAACCATCAAAAAGAAAAAAGGCAATTATATTGGAAAAAAAAAAGATTTTGAAGTTCCAGCAGCAGAGTTTACTGGAACTTTGCCATCACCACCAATACATGAAGAGTTAGAACCTGTTGATTACTTTTATTCTATGTTTGGCAAGGAATCTATTACACTTATGAAAAATCAATCAAATTTATATTCTCCACAGATGAATCCAAATAAACCACTTTGTGTTTCTGAAAACGAAATGAATCGTTTTATAAGTATATTATTAATGACTGATGTCTATTCATTTCCACAACAGCGTTTTTTTTGGATGAATGCTACTCGTGTTGAATCTCTAACCTCGGCTATGAGTCGAGATCAATTTTTACCAATCAAAAGAAATATTAATGTTGTTGATAATACAAATATATTAGATAACAATGATCCGAATTTCGATCGTGCGTACAAAGTTGGACCATTACTAAATATTTTTAAAGAAAATTTCCGTAAAATTCCAAAAGAAGAAAAGTGAAGTGCAGATGAACAAATTATACCTTTCAAAGGACGACGCAACATGAAGCAACACATGCCAAAATAACCACACCGTTGGGGTTATAAAATGTTTATATTAGCTGGTAGTGGTAGAGAATTATGTTACGATTGTATCTTTATACAGGTAAAGAAGGTAAGTCTGAACATGGACTTTATACACATATTGCTCTTGATCTTTGTGAAACAGTACCAAGATCGATAAATCATAAGCTTTTTTTTGTGATAATTTTTACACTACAATCAGATTACAAGTGGAGTTGTACAAGCTTGGTTTTAATGCCGTTGGTACGGTACGACCAAATCGATTACCTGGTTTGATTATGAAAAACGAAAAGGATTTTTCACTCGAGGAACGTGGTGCTATAGACCATTGTGTTGCCGAAGTTGATGGCGTCCAAATTTGTGCAATGAAATGGTACGATAATAATATCGTTAACTGCCTATCAACATTACATGCTTGTCATCCAGTCGATTTTGTTCAAAGATGGTCAAACAAAGAAAAAAAAACATATACAAGTAAAAAGACCAAATATTATAAAAGCATATAATCAACATATGGGTGGAGTAGACTTGCTTGATTTGTTGATCTCGCTCTCCCGTGTTAATTTTCGCTCAAAAAAATATTATATTAAAATTATTTTTCATCTGATGGATTTATCTTTAGTGAATGCTTGGCTCTCTATCGTCGTCATTCTTCAGGACAGAAAATTCCAAAAAAGAACATAATGTCTTTACTAAAATTTCGTGTCAACGTAGCTGCAGCTTTGCTTCAATGTAATCCATCATCATCACCAACAGCCAAACGTGGTCGTCCATCATTGCAATCAATAATAAGTGACCAGACATCTCCAAAATCATCTGGAGCTACACCAAATCCACTACCATCAAAAAATATTCGAATGGATAGATTTACCCATTGACTGATTCACATAGACAAAGGCCGCTGTCGAAATCCTGGTTGTACTGGTCGGACACGAATATCATGTTCAAAATTTAAATTACGTCTTTGTTTGAATGATAAAAATAATTGTTTCATTGAGTATCATAATTAAATAATATGTTTTCCCTCAAAACAGTTCTTTCTGGTTGTTGTTATTGATTTTCTTAGGTGTCTGTCTTTTTGCTCTTTATCTATTTATATCTCTTATTCTTGTACAAATTGCACAAATGAATAAAAAACCTCAAAATAGTGTATTTTTATAGACGAAAATAAAAAGACAAAATTCATAAAACTTTGACCCCTTATGGCCGGATGTATCCATTTGGATACATCAAGTTTTTCGATACCTAAAGAATTTTTAATAACAAGAAATGAACTTTTTCTATCTAAATAATCTAGGAACAATAAAAATACTCGAAAAAGTTTTTTGCTATATGTCTTCTAGTAGCCGGTCGGAAAGAGATACGACTATTGATTCATGGATTTCAAGTCCAACTTGACTTTGCTTGCAAACAAGACAAAATTGAAGTTTTGTTAATTATTTTTTTTATCACAAACAAATAAAATATTACGCATTGTCGTCAAAAATAATATCATTCATTACACTGCAGGAAACAGAACACTCTTGTTGTATCTTACTCTGTTTTAAAAGTTTTTATTTTTGATGTTGAAGTTTTTTTTCATACACCTATTTTCAAAAATATCATTCATATAACACATTAATCGATACTTTCGCGGAACGTTTATTTTATTGTAGAACTCACGTATATTTTCGAAGAAAATAGTCAATGTAAGTTTTAAGCCAGAGGTTTTCCGGCTCTCCTCTTCCCACCCCATTATAGACAGGCCACGATTTCAGACCTCAGCAACCGTGCACAATTCAGATCCTGTACAAATTTCTAATGCATTCATAATAATTCGAAAAGAAACCTATTTTTCAGTTTAGAAATAATGCGTTAGGATAACAACTCGAAAGCACATACGTGAGTTCCATATTTCAGCTCGAAAGGGACTGCGCTGACAAACTTTAGCACTTGTTTTCTTTACATACTTTTCCAGTTACTTGTAAAAAGAGAGATTCTAGAACTATTTCTTTTCATTTAAATTTTCGTTTCATCTGCATGAAATAAAGAGACCATAACAATCTTCATTGAGCTTGACCTTGGAAATAATAAAAATTTCTATAAAATATTGTCTCTTTATTGAGCACAAAAACAGATTTAACTAAAAAATTTAAGAGTAAATAATGCAAAAAAGATAAGTTAGTGATCAAATTTTCAGTACAAAAAGGCATGTCTTAGTTAAATTATGACAAAAAATATAAATGAAACAGGAAAGTGGCACTATTTATCATGATACTTTTCCCTGTTCTTCGCTCTGAAACTAATAGTAATGGCACGGAGCCTTTTTCATAATTTGCATACATGATGATCTTCAGCCGCCAGCGAAGCACCGTCTTGAGTT